TAGTAACAAAGTATAAAAATTAAATTAATAATATTTATTTCATATATAACGTACTGAAGTAGACAGGATCGCAGAGAATTTTAAATATCAATTGGGTGTGACCCATATGAGCTTATTTAATGAATGGTTCACTAATCTGACTCTAGGTGCTATTTGCGATGGGAGCAGTTTCTCAAAATCAAGTGGTTGATTGCTGTTGACAAATTGCAAACGGTAACAGCTGATCTTTATGTCTTGTTGTATCAAAACTTGTTTTATTTTTATATAAATTAACAATTATTTTATCAAGATTGATACTTTTTATCAATTTTATAAGAATTTAAATTCAAATCATAAGGTATATTTTATATTATTGCTAAACAATTACTAAAATAATAATTTGATTTATGTTTTTTTTTTGTTTAACTTAGTTCATACTTCTATTTTAATATAAACTAGTATTTGTTCATTTAAAAGTATTTTGATTTAACTCAACATTATTATTAGTTATGAACACAGTTAACTTAGATGCAATTTAACAAATTTATTAAAACGTAACACATTTTAATGAATTTAATTGTAGGTTAAATATTATAAGATACAATATAAAATATTATGTGATATTTAAAAGAATTTATTCGTAAATTATTTCAGATTGATTCACAGATTAAAAAAAAAAAACAAATATTCATTAAAATCATTAAATTGTAATTTCTCCCAATCCTGAAACACGTTCTTGACCATTCTTCTCCTTACTCTTTCTTCCTTCTCCCACCCTTTCCCCAATTGATTGAGTCACTTACACTATTAAACCCAAATGAATTAAAATTTCTGATAGGTTGTTGTCATTGCCAAAATCTATACTCATAATGGATCGTGTCTGGGCAGATAAAAGAAACCACCATCGATTCAGGAACCGTTGGTTCGGGTCAATGACCAAAAAATCAAAATACCATAGTATCATGAACCACACTTCATATGTTCACTAATAATATTGAACAGTGTAAAAACAAAAGTTTTAAAATAAACTTGTATATTGTGTTCTTTTAGTTTTGTACAAGTTAAAGTAAGAATTAATATATACATATATATATGGACACTTATATGTCTACATACGTAATTATCATATATATAAGAAATAAATTACAACACAGTGGACTCTGGATTTCCGGTAGAGACACTGCCTAGCCCCTTTTTAATTATAATTAGTTTTATAAATATATGAAAATAGCGAAACGGCCGCTAACTGACACGGCTTAAAGAGAATAGCCAAACAGGTCGGAGCTCAAAAGGCCTGCTGCATATCCAAACAGGCCCAGAGAGTTCTGATTGCGTGCGCGGGCTAGTTGTGTGCTTATTCTCGCAACCAAACAGCAGGATTAGGTCTCATTTCTTCATCTTCATCTTCACTTACAAAAGAAAACAGAACAAAAACCCAGTACTTCTTCTTCGTCTCTTCTTCACTGGCAAAAAGCTAAAAATCATCCGCAGACAGGATTAACGATCTTCCATTTGACCTCTACCTATCGACAGGTTGAAACCAATAATGGCTTCTAAATTCGGATTGGCCGGCGGGATACCGGAGCGGCGGGTCCGACCAATTTGGGACGCCATTGATTCTCGTCAGTTCAAGAGTGCTCTCAAGCATGCCACTACGCTCCTCGCGAAACACCCTAATTCACCATATGCTCTTGTAAGATCGTCGTTACATTGTTCTTCACGTCTCTATTCGAGCTAATGCCATTTGTTTTAATGGATTAATCTTGGTATTTCGCTGGTTTTTATACTGTTATATTTATTTGTTTCTTGTTCAGTTTGTTGTTTCGAAATTAGAGCACAGACGCTTATAATCATCGTCGTAGAGAGTGATAGAGTGTCCAAGTTGTTGATGATAAATGACTATTTTAGCTCGTAGCATCAAGTTAGTCAACCGTTTATTTTCTTTAGATTGAGGAATGAACTTGCTCCATTTTGTTTGTTTTTTTGTTTTTCCTTTTATAGGCACTAAAAGCTCTTATTTTGGAAAGGATGGGAAAAAATGATGAGGCACTGTCTATTTGCTTAGATGCCAAAGAGCTCTTACACAAGAATGACTCTATGTTAATGGATGATCTCACCCTGAGTACATTGCAGATTGTTTTCCAAAGGCTCGATCACTGTTAGTATATATTTTCTGCTGCTTTATGTTGTATTTCATACACATATACATGTATTAAGCATGGTGCAAGCATGCATGTATTTACATGTTTGTAATTGCTGTTAGTATGATTTCAGTTTTCCAAATTTAAGTTGCATTTTATTGTCACACAGGCATACATTTTTATGTATGCCTGTGTGTTTGTATGTCTTTTGCACGTGTGTAGTTATGTCCTAAGATTAAATTACTGTTAGTATGTCATTTTCAGTAGCATTGAACTCACACATGTCTATAAGTATGTATTCACGCATACATGACATGTTTATGTATTTCCATGCTACTCTGGCATCTAATAACTCTCTCTTTCATAAAAAGAGATCAGAATATAAGAAATGAATAACTCTTTCTGCTTAATCAGTGGAATTGGCTACTAGCTGTTACGAGCATGCTTGTGGGAAATTCCCAAACAATCTAGAGTTACTCATGGGGCTTTTCAACTGTTATGTACGTGAATATTCATTTGTGAAACAACAACAGGTCAGTATCTTTCTTTACTTACTTTGTTTCTTAAATTCTGTTGATACAGCAAGTTTCTGTTTGGATGTGGATTCTGGGTTGAGCACATAGGCAGGTGCTTACTTGAGTTTTATTTATGACAGACAGCCATTAAAATGTACAAGCTTGTTGGTGAAGAAAGGTTTTTGCTATGGGCAGTTTGTAGCATCCAGTTACAGGTATCGCCATCTTCTCTGTTTATTTCCTTCTTTTTCGCAAAACTTATGGTGAACACTTCCCTTTTTTTTTTCTCTCCCTATATTTTTTTTAAAGCTGATAGTTGGTAGCTGGAGTATAGAGCAAAAAAACATTAAGAACATTTTGTATGAGTTAACTTCTCTGCTTTCTTGACAGAAAATTAACTCCTATACATTATGGGAATAATTGATTGCGTTGCCTTATTTTTGGGCATTTCAATAATAAAAATTGTAGTTGGCTCTGAGTTGAGTGCTGGAAAGTGCATCCCGCAAACTTAAAGGCCCATGGAAGAAAACTTTATAGTAGATAAGCTTCTTGTAAAAAGTTTAGTAAACTAGAAGATTTAATAGATGAAAGCATGTTTTGGAATAAAACTATATTTCTCTTTAAGAAAATATTTTATATGCAGTTTGGGTTCCTTCAAAAAAGAAAAAAAAAAAAGAACTGTGCTCTGCAAAGCCAAGATCTAATCTGTTGATGGCTGTGGCAGCTTAACTGTCTGATCTGGGCTTCAGGTTTGAAGGATTACTATCCTTAACAAACAGAATTTGAGATGGGTGTCATAGCACACCAATGAGGTTTATCTAAAGAGAACCTAGGTATTTGATTCAATATATGCCAAATAGTAGATTGCCAAGGTAATTAGAAAGTAAAGATTATTTTGTTGAAATATTTCTTGTTTGCTAATTGGTGACTTATAATGGTCACAATGGAGACTCATTTTGGGATTCTGAAGCTTTCCATTCATATATTTAGGGCTTAGTTCATGTTATCAAAGTGCCATACCGTAAATTATTTGTCATGTTTAGTTGAACTGCAGATAATGCACCATGTAACATTTGCTCCCAATATCTTCTTACCTGCATCTTTTGGAATTCTTAGCGTTTTGTTAATTCATTCTCTTTCTTCTTATGTACTGGCTTCCTGTAGTTTTCTCATCGGTTTACACTGAACATTTTGTGTGTGCTATCAGCTTTATTGTCAGTCCTTTTAAAAGCTTAGTAGCTTAAGAATATGGGTATGCTGTTTGGAAGGTTGGTGGCATAGCTGTGTTATCACCAGAAAACCAATCATCTCTTTCCATGGTTAAAGGAAAGATATAGCTAGTAACATCTCATAAAACCACAGTAGTTGTGAGGGTATCAAAACCTTGAGTTTTTATTTTATCATTTTTTAGAAGAGATTTGTGTTTGAAGGAGAAGCAGGTGCCAACTAGATGCTTTTCACTTTTAAACAATTCCTTCAAAATTGAGTTTGGTTCAAATTTCACTTCCATGGAATAAGAATGAGAATATAATATAAATAAGATACGTTTAAATGAGAATAATATTCTAATTCTAAGTCAGTTCCAATTTAAGTTAGATGGTTTTTTGTTATTCCCTTATGGATAATTTGAGTTTAGATCGTTAATTGTAGAATTGACGATATGAGTGGTGTTGATTCCATTATGCATCAAATATGTAAATTATGACTAACTTCTACATACCAAGTAACAAAATTTTAGAAATTTGAATTGGAACAGAATAAGGTTAAATCAAATGAAGTGGCTTAGTAATGGAATTTATGTTTTTATGAAGTGTTTACTGTGGTATGCACAAAAGTTGTATGAGTGATTTGGATATTTGCTGCTTGTAAATCAAAGTTACTTATGTTATTTAAGGTAGTAAAATGCATTCTCTAGTGGCTTATTTTTGCAATTGTTGCTATCAGGTGCTTTGTGGCAATGGTGGAGAGAAGCTGTTACTCTTGGCTGAAGGTTTGCTTAAGAAGCACATTGCCTCCCATAGCTTGCATGAACCTGAAGGTGGACTCCGTTTCTTGTTTCTTTTATGCCAAACTTAGAATCTGGATTCGTCGTTTGTGTCCACCAATTTACTAAACACTTGGTGTCTCCTTCAGCGATTTTTGTCTACATTTCTATTCTGGAGCAGCAATCAAAGTATGGTGATGCATTGGAAATTCTGTCTGGAAAATTAGGATCACTTTTGATGATTGAAGTTGATAAACTACGAATACAGGTAATTTCTGGAGTTTTCTGTTTTTCTTCCTAATATTTCATTGACATTATGTTCATATGCTCGTTTGCATACGTGTATCTTATTTTGCTGCACTTCCTTTTTGTCTTTTGAGAAACATAATGCTGCCAAAGAAAGAGCAGCTAGAAGTGAATAGATTTGAATTAATTCTGTTAATAAAAATAACCTAAAAATGACTAAGAAATGGAACCTTCTGTAGAAAATTCTTGGAATGCTTATACTTTTCTTATAATTTAGTTTTCTTCTTTTTTCTGAAAATATATAATTTAATTATCTTATGTTTTGAATTTTGTTCCTTCTTATTTCGACCCACAAATTCCATGGATGAAAATAAGTTCTAATGCTGTTCTATACGTCCAATACAATTATGGCCTGTTCAGAGTTTGGAATCTATCATGGGTTGACACTTGTTTTGTGGTGAGAGTTTACTGACACTTGTTACTGAGAATTGTCTGTGGAGCTATTTGCTTTTCTTACATTTGTTCCCTTTGACTTCAAGTTGACAGGGGAGACTTCTTGCTAGAGCAAGTGATTATGCCACTGCTGCTCTTGTATACCAAAAAATCTTAGAATTAAGGTATGCTTGTGGAGAGTTCTTTCATTTTGGAAATTTCTTTGCAACTTTGCATCAGCAAAGTTGTAGTTAGCTTTAAAGCTTGTAATTTGGTGCTATTTAATTGAATGATATCATATTTGTTGCAGTCATAATTTGCCAGTCCTTGGAAACTTAATTTTATAGGTTTTATTATCTGTCTTCAGCGTTTTTTTTAGAGCAAAAGAGAAAAGGCCTTAATAAGGTGCCAAGGGTACCACCTATATACAAAAGATTTACATTTCAGTCAAAATATCCATTAAGTATCCTAAATCTTTAGTAAAATTAAGATGATGACCCTTAAGCAAAACACAAGGTCTGGATGTTTGATACAGATATTATGGTTAATGCGTTCAATTCCTTTTCATTTTGGGCTGTTATTGTGTTTCAACTAGAGAATAGCTTTTGGTTCCAAATTCCAATGCAGCGAATGTCTTGAAATAACTGCAGCTACTACAATCTCCATTTCCTTGATCAGGTATCCTAAATCCTTGTCGAAATTAAGATGATGACCCTTAAACAAAACATGGTGTCTGGATGTTGATATAGATATTATGGTTAATGCCTTGCTTCCTTACCATTTTGGGCTATTATTGTGTTTCATCTAGAGAATATCCTTTTGTTGCAAATTCCAATGCAGTAAATGTCCTGAAATAACTGTGGGTACTGTAATCTCCTTTTCCTTGATTGTCCAATAATTTTATCACTGGCTGGGTTCTATTTTATTTCCAATCTATCTTCTGCATTTTGTTCTTGTGTTTTAAGCTCTTGATGGCCTATGTCATTGAAGCAGCATGCTATAAGTAGCTAAGTTAATTTGTTTTCCAAACCATAATTTTTTTGGATAATTAATCAAATTAGTTCCTGAAATTTGACATTTATTATAATTTAGTCACTAACGTTCTTTTTGTCATGTTGTAGTACCTAACATTTTCTATCTGTTTTAAATGCATAATTTTCTTCTAGTTTCTGGCAGAAAAAGTTACAATGGTGTTAGACTGTGTTTGGATGCTTTAGAAAATAACTCAAAAAATGATTTTAGCTAATTAATTAAATTAATAGAGTAACGTACTATCTATTTTTTACTGTTATTAACTTATTAATTTAATTAATTAGTTAAAGTTATTTTTGAAAGTTATATTTTTTAAAATATTCAAACATGATCTAATCATTTAAACTTTTTCTGTTAGGAAATGGAAGGAAACTGGGTGTTTGAAACAAATAAAAAATGTAGTTAGATATCAAATTGTACAAGTGCTAAACATTGGGGACTAATTAGTAATTTTCTTTTTTATATATTTTTTTTCTGATAGAATCTGGACCATAATTATTAAATTCTGTAGATTCTTTGGGGACCAGAATATCATGATTCTTCCCCTTGTTTTGATTGTTCTGGTGTCATGTTAACATGTTCAAGATTTTTTCACGAGTATGTCTTTTTAATTTTTTAAAAGTATTTTTTTGTGATAGTTGTAACATGTTCAAAACGATTTATAATTATTTGTAAGGCATTAAAGCCATGATGTGAAAAGTCAGGGGCTAATAAAATTAGTTATTCTGTTTGCTAAAAAAGAGATGGTTGATAGATATGCTGCTTCTATGTAAATTAAGAGACTAACAGGTGTCTATTAATTATCTAAAAAAAAACAGGTGTCTATCAATGAGCTGTCTGCTTCACTTTAATATATAACTATATGCAAGCATTTTGCTTTTTCAGTTTGCTAACTTCTATCTGTTTGTGTTTCTCCTTTTATCTGCAAGCCCTGATGATTGGGAGTGCTTCCTACATTATCTTGGCTGTTTGCTTGAGGATGATAGTAGCTGGTGCAATAGTACTGTCAATGATCCAATTCATCCACCGAAATTTGTGGAATGCAAGTTTTCACAGCTTGGTGATGAAACGGTAAAACTCTACAGCTCCCAACATTTGAAATCTATATTCCTGTTTTCAATGTTCCCCTATGTGCTTTTTGATAAAGCTTTCGTTCAGAATCTAATTTGTTCCTCTTCATTGGTGCAGTTTGTTTCTCGTATATCAAATGCATCAGCTTTTGTACAGAAACTACAAGCAGACAACAATAGTAAATCTATAAGGGGTCCATACTTGGCGAATCTTGAAATTGAAAGGAGGAAGTGCTTGTATGGAAAGAAGAATGAGGATGAATTAATAGAAGCTCTGATGCAATATTTTTTAAAGTATATTATGATCCTCACCTCTTCTGATAAATTTTTAACTTAAACACTATAAGATTTTTTCTTTTATAAAATTGAGGCAAGAGGTTGCTCCTCTGCATATGGTGAATATACAATTGCTTTAGCATGTGAATTAGATTCTAAGATTTTAATGTTTGCCATCCTTCTTTTTTTAAAATCTGAACTGCTTGACTATCTTATGGATGATGTTAAGTTTTATGCATTTTTATATGGGACTGCATTCAGTATTTTGATACTGTTGCTGTAACTGTGTATTTCATATGGAGTTTTTGTTATGCAGGTTTGGTCACCTGGCATGCTTCACTAGTGATGTGGAGATGTTTCTTGATGTCTTATCTTTGGATAAGAAGATGGAGTTTTTGGATAAGATAAAAATCTCAGACTCCATCTTGATGGTACCAACTAAAGTTCTTGGGCAGTCGATAACAATTTTTAAAATTCAAGAATTGATTGGAGTCATGTACAAGCTACCAGTGGATGGTGGGTTTCCCTTGTGCACACACTTGATATAAACACACATGCAAACTAATATAATTTCGTCCTTCGCTTGCT